ATTGCCGCACGTTTCCAGACCAAATCTGACAAACTCGTGATAGGATCCTATATTTACGTTGGAAGAGCTCTTGAAAGTGTTGAAATTCGTGTAGCTTTTCAAATTCACAACCTTCATGAATTGCATTTTAGCGTAGCATGATTGACGGCCGGCGCTCACCCTGTCGGCACAGGTTATGCGTAATCCATACTTGTCTTTAGATGATAATCATAAAGACTTCGTCGCTCACTGCCAATTAGGACAAAGTTACAATATACTGCGCTTCTCTCCTCGTAAATTCACTTTCCTTAGAAAAACCTCAGTCCTTGCATTAATGAGATAATCTGTATTCATGTGTACAGACAGTGCAAACCACTTCAAGGGGGAAATTCTTCTTTTCGTTGGTACCCTTCAGGGTGGAATGGTAGAATTGGTAAAAGGGTGGTAAAAATTCAACAAAGGTACTCAATTTATTGCATCGTGCAAAAAAGATGAGCAAAATTAGCAAAAAATTTGACACAACAATGCTCGTGTGCTAATAACGTAAAAGTATCACAATAAATTAAGAGGAGATAGCCAGGGAGTTCAGATAAAAGCATGCTTCTGGACCGAGACACAAAAAAAACATTGACACACGTATCGACTAGACATACGTACGATGTACAAATCGCTGCAAGATGCAGTCGCCTTGAACCGTTATTTTATCAATTAGTGAAGGATCATCTCCCACTCTGTACTTGAATTTAACAAAATGTACTCCATCCACATCAACCTAAATCACTCTTCTTCGAGAAACGGCTAAATCTTTTTAGACTGACGCCACTTACAGCTACAGTTGATCCATACGCAGTAAAAAGAATGTCACAAGTTAATCCCTTGGAAAACGGAAAATGAGATATTGTTCGCTCTTCGTCTAGCCATTTCCCCTTTCTCGTACTATTTCGAATGACTGCGTCCTTAACAATACCATGAGTCGGGTAGCAATGCTAACAGTAACAAACAAACCTTGCTGTGTTTTTCATTAGAATTCCGAAAATCAACTCGAAAATGGAACAGCCACTCCTCTCCGGATCGCAGGTTACAGGCGAACCGTTTCGCACTCATAAAAGGAGTTAGAGTGAAACGTACAGATTGAGGACTAATAAAACCGTTCAACTCTTTCGGAAGCTCCCAAGAAAACGGTATCGTCTGAAATTTCTTTGATAGTTTTGATTTCCAGTGGTAATTCTGTAACTTGACAGAGTGAAACTTTTGCCTCTCTTTTGCTTTGCAACAGTTTTCAATAAGTGCAATATTGCAACTATTCCAACATGTTTTCCCAAAATTGATAGACTTATGCTGTGCATTTATCGAGGGATGGGTCCTCCTGGTAGAGAAATTTGAGGGGTCAGCGCGAAAGAGTATTAGGTATCTTATCTTTAACCACAACATTTTTAGAAAATAGATTCTCACGTTAGTATCACGCTTGCACCAGCCTCGCATCAGCAAAATAATGATCCACAACCACCTAGATTTAAACAATAACAAATAACATTCGTTTAAATTAGTCTTACAATTACGAACATTAGCTGGAACGTTCCTGCCGAAAATGTCAGGTGATAAAACGTAAAAGGAGGCAGATCATAATACGCAAGACTAATTGGGCACAATAGCCATTTTTCTGGAGCACTCCTGTGTGGAGTAGAAGTCAACTTTCTCACCCCGTCTCTACGTCACCCCATAATAGTAGAGAAATGTACCAAAAACCAAGTTCAGCACAGCAGAAACGGCTGAGCACTTCCTCTTTGCTCA